TCTGGCCCTTTTTGAGACAGGGTCTCCCTCTAGTCTCAGCTGGCCTAGAACTCACTATAGACCAGGCTGGCCTTGAACTCACAGAGATCCAGTTGCTTTTACCTCCTGAGTGCTGGGACTAAAGGCTTGCACCACCACCCCAGGCTTAAGTTTTTTTCTAAGTTGACAACAAATATGCTGAGACACTGACATTATTTTGTAATCAATAACTCCATGTGCACAGCTCCTGTGCAGTTTTACCATTTGAAAAATTCAGGAATAATTGTTGTTCTATTTCTTAAAAACTTTTTGAGTATTTATGATATACTGGATACTCAGCTGAGGCTGGAAACCAAATATACCTTAATTCGTAAAACTGGTAAAGAATTTTTAATAAGTTGGTTCTGTTACAAATTCATGTTTAAGGGGCTGGAGAAATGGCTTAGCATTTAAGACCATGTATTGCTTTTGCAGAGGACCTGAGTTCAATTCCTAGCATCCATGTCCAGTGGCTGGCCTTCAACTTCAGGGGGATTCAAAACCTCTGACCTCTGTGGGCACCTGTACTCACATGCACATACCCATATAGACACACATATAGACATAATTAAAAACAAAAAATCGCCTGGCTTTGTGGCATACTCCTTTAATCCCAGTATTTGGGAGGCAGAGGCAGGCAGATCTCTGAGGACAGTGTCTACAAAGCTAGGCCAGCTGGGGCTACGGGGAGACCTTGTCTCAAAAAAAACAAAACAAAACAGGGCTGAAGAGATGGCTCAGTGGTTAAGAGCAATGGCTACTCTTGCAGAGGACCCAGTTTCAGTTCCCAGCACTACATGGCAGCTAACAACTGTCTGAGTTCCAGGAGATCTGACACACTCTCCTGACCTCCACAGGTGTTGCAAAACACAGGCGCATGTACACACATTCAGGCAATACACTCACACATAAAGTAAAAATAAAAACCCACCAAGTTCCTGCTTAAGAGTTGAGATGATTGTCAGTAATTAGGGATGCAAAGCATGTAGAAGTCACCAGAAAGCTGAAAACAAGAGCCAGGTTTGTAGAACTACACAGGTACCTTTAATCCTGAAGTTCTACTCCCTAAGGGACTTGTTACTATAATTTTGTTGTAACCCATAACACATAAAAATGCCAGGCATGGTGGCGCACGCCTTTAGTCCCAGCATTGGGGAGGCAGAGGCAGGCACATCTTTGTGAACTCGAGACCAGCCTGGTCTACATAGTGAGTTCTGTGCCAGCTGGGGCTACAGGGAGACCCTGTCTCAAAAAGACAAAAAAAACCAAACAAACAAACAAAAAAAAAAACCAAACCCCAAAAAACCTCAAGTGTTGTAATATTAGACCTTGTGTAATAATTTTAGTACTGGAGAACTCAGATAAACTGAGGAGCACGAGGAGCCACAGTCAGGAAAACAGGTGGGTCAGAAAGTGATGGACAGATTCCTGAAGGTGACTAAGGAGCATATCCTTTGTATGTGTGTGTGTGTGTGTGTGTGTGTGTGTGTGTGTGTGTGT